ATACACTTTGTAACAGTGGTCAAACATTGGGGAGATACACTTTGTAACAGTGGCCAAGAGAACTAAGCAAGACTTGAGGCTCCCAGAGAGAATATTCTGAAAGTTGCCAGTGATTCCATCTGGTTTCTCCTGCCCAGTGTGTTCCTCTTGATTTTTTTGCTTTGTTTTCTGGGCTAGAGTGCCTGCGAAGAACAGAATTAAATGTGTGCACACCTGGAGTTGAACATGGAAAGATGCAGCGTTTGTTTGTTTGCTGAGGCCCACGGGGTGGAAGGCACTGCCAGCCATGCTGTGGGGTCTTTCAGCGAACGCATAGCATGGCCTCTGAGGTTGGGATGTTTGTGGCCTGAGATGGCCTGGGTATGAATGTGCCTGCATCTCACAGGTTCTGCTGCTGTGCTGAGCTGAGTGGCCCTAAAGGGGCATTGCTGAACTTCTCTCTTCCCTCTTCTAGAGACTGTTTGGGTTAGAAAAGTTAAAATTGTTCACATCTTGTCTTCAGGGTGTTAGATTGAGGACGTTGTGCTTTTCTTTTTTCTTTTTCTTTTGTTTTTTTTTTTAAAGATCTATTTATTTATTATGCATACAGTGTGCTCTGCCTGCAGGCCAGAAGAGGGCCCCAGATCCCATTACGAATGGTTGTGAGCCACCATGTGGTTGCTGGGGATTGAACTCAGGACCTCTGGAAGAGCAGCCAGTGCTCTTAACCTCTGAGTCCTCTCTCCAGCCTGTGTTTTTCTAACTGTTGCCATTCTGAGAATTTATTGTGCATTTACTGTGTGCTAAGTAAGACCTTCTGGGCATAAATCTACTTTAATCTCCGAGCCTCTGACATTGTGGTATTGACTGTACACACTTACAGAAGTTAAGTCTGGAACAAAGGGTGTCACAGCCAATACACGGAGAAGAGTATGGCCTGGACACTCCTTGCTTACACACCCGGCCCTGCTGCCTCCCTCCGATTATATAAATATCCCTGGATACTGTTTCAACCAGTGAACATCTGGTTTTGCCTTTCTGCAGGAAAAGTCTGCCTTTGGGAATAAAATTCTCTAGGGTTTGAATGCTTTGTACTCGACTTCCTGGAATGTAGGTGGGTTATCCTCAGATTTAGTGAGGATCATTAAGTCTTCAGGGGTGCTCGCTAAAAGATTTTGTTCTAGAATTCTCCCCAGTGTCCCTGCTGGAGCTGGTGGTTGGGCCTAGAAATTTTCATCTTATAAAGAAAATTCTGATGCATGCCTCACTATGAGCCCAAGACTGGATACTGGGACTACTTTTAAAGAAGCTTACATACTGTTTTAGGTTAGTTATTTGATAACTTTATTTACTCTTCTCCCACCTTTATAAAAACTCTTCTTCCCACCTTTATGAACCCTGGTTTCTCCCTACCTGTCCATTTTTCATATTCATTGCTTCCGGTCTTCCGTTGTGACCCATCTAGTTTAATGGGGGTCCTCTGTGTAACCATCGACGCGGAACTTTTCCATCGGGACTTAGTGGAGCAGCAGCGGGCACACAATTGAAGGCAGTGGCTCCCTCTTTCCCTCCATCTATCAGCTGAAAACAGTTCAGCAGTGAACTGTCCGTGTCTGGGTCGTGTCTGGGCCCATTCTGGGGGCAGATCCAGCGTAGCCATTCACAGCTGTTGAGGGTCCATCATTGCAATGACTGTATATTGTTCAGATGGAAGTTTGCCGTCTGTCTTCTGGCTCTGTGGTCCTTTCCACCCCATCCTCTGGGGTGTCTCTTGAACTTTGGAGGGGTTGCTATAATATCTTGTTTAGGACTGATCCCTCACCTTTATTATTTTCATCCCCTTCTGCAGCCACGAGTCTCTGTATTTACTACTGATGCTCACTAGCTTCTCTGGTTAATGCAGAGAGTGGTAATTGTCAGTGGGCATAAATCTGTTTTAAAGGTGGATCCACACTTTGTTGACAATAAAGTTAAACAACAGAATTGAATTCCCCCTAGGGCCTGTGACCCACTACTACCATGGGCTTTTGGGTGGGGTTATAGTACTTAGTATGGAGGTGAAGAGAGGACCTCAAATGCAGTCAGGGAGATGTTGGTTACCTCCATGATGGCCATGCCACTACTGTGCATGTGGGCACATCTTGCCTGGCAGGTTGGTATCATAGTCCTTAGGACTCCCTGCACAGCCCTTACCAGCACTGTGAAAGCTAGCCAGCAGGGAGATTGCCAGCTCACTATGAATACTTCTGTGCTTGTCTTTCCTGACTTTCAAAGACGAGGTTTTGTGAATAACGCCCTGTAGAATACTCTCCTATCCCCAAGTCTCCAGTGAACGCCTTTGTACTGCGAGTTCAAAGAATAGATATACGCTAATAATAATTATAACAATAGGGACTGTTTTAGTTTGGTAATGGATACTTCTGAAAGAATAATCCCACTAATTGAGCAAATTGTCTAGCAGCAATTTATACAGTGACAGAACATGAAATTGCTGTAATCACTGTGGGATAAAGGCCCCAAAGGAATATGGTATAAGCCTTCAGGATTCCCGCGTGGCCTCAGGAGCTTGAGCTTACGGCACAGCAACGGCTTGGCTGATATGTGCCAGCTCTTGTTGACAGACCTTGCTCGTGATCACATCCCCGTGTTTATTGCCACCAAAGCTTCCAAGTGTGCAGTGTGTGCAAGGCACCAGCTACGCTCTGCAGAGGTTACAGAGAGTTGTCAAAGACCAGAGCCTGATCTCAGGCAGCTTGCAGTCCATCGAGTTTGGCGTTGCTTGCACCTGCAGAAAGAATTTCTGATTTTAAACCTCCCTTGTCCCCGGTGACTTGAGGAGAGTCTGAGTACGGCGCATATTTGAGAGTAACGTGAGCTTTCAGAAACCTCGAGGGAAACCGAATAGCTTCATACTCAGGTGTGGCGGCTTGTGCCTGTAATTGTAGCGCTTGGGAATCCCATCCCAGAGAGCTGCAGCTCAATAAACAAACAAACAAACAAAAAGGAAACAACCATCAGCTCACGAAAGAACAATGGAATGCCTGTTAGACTGAACAATAAGTTAATCATTTTATCCCATGTTTGTTTGAGTTGCCTCTTACATTTCACAAAAGTTCCAGGTTGTTACGCACTGGAAACAATACTAAAAATTTTTCTTTGAGACGGTCTCAAATTTGGGATGGTTTTTCTCCTGCTTCTGAGAACTGTCCTCTCTCGCTCCAGTTCCTGGGTCCCGAGAAGACCTTAGACGCAGGACCCACTTATCGGGCAGTTGCCAGTGACTCCACAGACTGTTTCTGTTGCAGGAGGCGGTGCAGGTACTGATCAAACACTCGGCCGACGTCAACGCGAGGGACAAGAACTGGCAGACCCCCCTCCACGTGGCGGCAGCCAATAAGGCTGTCAGGTGTGCCGAGGTGATCATCCCACTGCTGAGCAGTGTCAATGTCTCCGACCGAGGCGGGCGCACGGCCCTGCACCACGCAGCTCTGAACGGGCACATGGAGGTGAGTGTTCTCTGCAGTGGGAGCTGGGGCACAGTACTCAGACCCTGTGACCCCCAGGTGGAGCCATTGTGATGGCTGAGACTTTATGTGAGTATCAATGTGATAGAGGAATGTCACTTAGGCAGTTCAATCCATCCTCAAATTCAATGAATTTAAAAGTGGATTATTTTGTCAGTCTCCTCCTTGACACATGCGGCAGAGCCTGCTGTGACATCATCTTTCTTGTCTGAATTCCTGACTTGCTCTTAGGGTTGATGCTAATTTGGTTTAGACTACACACAGGCAGCAAGGAGCTCTTGTGGTTGCAGAGGGAACACTTGGTTTCACTGTTTCTTTTATCTTTCAGATGGTCAGTTTGCTCCTGGCCAAAGGGGCAAACATCAATGCATTTGACAAGAAGGACCGGCGCGCTCTCCATTGGGCAGCGTACATGGGTGAGGAGTCTGTGTGTTAAAAACAAAGTGCGGGGGTCTCTACTAGCTCAGTGGTAGGGCAGGTGCCTGGGTTTGATCCCCAACATAGCACACAACAACTAACAGCCTCAGGCAGTTGTCCTGAACTGCAGATGCCACAGGGCCCTTGTTGACTATGAACGCGTCCTTGGAGAAGTCTGACTTAGGGGTTGGACTAAGTCATTCCACTTGAATGAAGATTTGGCCCATTTTCCTGGCATCTGTAAAGGGCTCCAGTTGGCTAGTCGCCTTGTCGGAGGCTTATTTATCCCCCAAAGAGAGGGAGGATGAGTCACGGTCTGGACCTCTCGGAAGATCCTTCACTCTAGATTAGAAAGCAACACACTTCGCGTGTATGCTCGCTTGTTATGACATCAAGTCAAGTGTTCAGGAAAGAGAGACTGGTTAACCACGTGAGGACACTGTGCTCTTTGTCTCTGCATGTCTAAATATTTTTGAAAGAAACAGCAGGAAGGAAGAAAAGAAAGGAAAGTTTTTTGGCTCCTTTGAAGTTAGACATGGTGGAGTTCCCTTAGATTGGGCTTCTGCTATGCTGGGCTCAAAGCGGAGGCCCATAGGCCTCTTCAGGCCACTCCCCTCTGCTGAAGATGAAGAATTAGGGTGTATCTCTGTTTTCGTCCTTTTCTTTTTTCTTTTTTTAAAAACACCATTTGAATTTTAATAATAAAATATATAACATGGACATAAAATATAAATGCATAGAAATGAAACAGATTATTAAGTATACCAGTGTCATGGAACAACATTTAGTTTTTAATGGCTGTGAGCCAGTATGTGGTTGCTGGGAATTGAACTCAGGACCTCTGGAAGAGCAGCCAGTGCTCTTAACCTCTGAGTCATCTCTCCAGCCCCTCGTCTTTTTCTTTTGATGGGCGCAAAGACCTTGGGCAAAGGATAACCTTCCCAGTTTATTCTCAAGGTAGACATGAGACATGAAGAAGGAAGATCCTTCTGCGTGGTTCTGCTTGGAGGAGAACCTGCTATTAGAAGAGAAAACAGGGTTTTATCAGACACAAGCTGAGACCCAGGGGGTATTGTTTTGGTAAATCCCAGAGGATCCACACAAGGGGACAGAGTAGGGAGCACAGCAATGGTGTCCATGCGTGTCTGTAAACACCAAGGCACATCAAAAAGAATACAGAGACGCATCCTCTTCTGGATGTACGTATAGAATATGATAATATGCATAATGCTTTCCATTGCTGTGGAAACTGCTACACAGTGAAGGGAAATTTGAAAAATAAATACTGAAATATTAGATGATTACATTTCAGTGGCTGGCTTCTTTTTTTGAGCATTTTTGCCTGTTTGAGTCCATTTGACAAGCAGACACATCTTTTATTATTCCAAAAATTGCTGGTTGTGGTGGTGCACGCCTTTAATCCCAGCACTCAGAGGGAGGCAGAGACAGCGGATCTTTGTGAGTTCAAGGCCAGCCTGGTCTTCAAGAGCTAGTTTTAGGACAGGCTCCAAAGCTACAGAGAAACCCTGTCTTGAAGGAAAACAAAACAAAACAAAACAAAACCAAAATCATTTCCAAATTTAACATTATTTGTGTTTTGGGGGAGAGTGGATTGGGGTAAGAATAAAGCAAACCACACCTCTACAGATTTCTGAATGAATTCTTAGACTTACAGACCCCAAGAATCCTAAAAGCTTGTAAGAATTATTCTTTGCGTAGCAAAAGACCTTGAACCGCTGATCCTGGCCGCCTAGTGCTGGTGTTACAGGTGTGTGCCGCTATGTCTTCCTTGAGTATCACAGACCTTTGAGTTGGGTAAAAGCAATCAGACGTTTAGATGAAATGCACACTGAGCTAGTCAAAGAAGCTGGGGGCTTCAGGCTCAAGCTTTGTGGATTAATGATTAACATATTTTTGTGACTTGAAAAAGTCAAATCATTATTACCCTTGTCATCAGGATGCAAACAGGAAAGCGTCAAAGTAGGTGGCAATCCTTAGGAGATAATGGCATAAAATGTGAAGCAAGTAGTTTGAGGCTGCACCGCCGGCAACTGAAAATATTTTGTTCTGTATACAAGTTTTTGTAGATAAGGAATCGACTTTTGATAAAGCAAGCTCATACCCCCCGCCCACACCTACCCCCACCCCCTCTCTTACAAAGTTTGGGTCCCGCAGTCAGTATTTGTCTCCCGCCCTTCAGTTAGCCGCAGTGTTCGTGGCAATGAACTTAAACTCGGAATGATCTTCAATTGTAAAATAAGGGCCAAACTCATCATAGTGAATGAGGGAACAGAGTTCAAATGCCCACAACAGTTGAGATCAGGAGGGTTTTCTATTTACTGAATAATTTATGGGAGTTGTTTTACATGGAAACGTAAGAACTGGCCTTTTTATGGGTTAAAACCCAACACAACGATGGCAGTTTCAGATTTGACCATAATCTGGGAGTATTCTGATTCTTTTCTTTATTTAGTTTCTAAGCTGAATTGTTGCTGTTGGGCTTTTCTGACGAGGAGTGGGAATGGTTTTTGTTTTAACATACCCCTTGTTACTGTTTCTGTTTTGAGGCAGGGTCTTGCTAAGCCATCTAGGCTGGCCTGGGATTCACGCTGTCCTTGAACTTGTAGCTTGCTTCCCTCAGTCTCCCAGCTGCTGGGATTACACACTCAGCTGCAGGACAACGTAAAAAAGGCTGCGGCACTCATGTGTCCTCACTCTCGGGTTCTTCTCGTTGTCATGGCGAACAACCACTACCTTTGCTACATCTCATGCAAGCCTTACTGAACCATCCCTTTCCTTCCCGTGGGATGTACAATAACGGCCGGCACAGAGCTGGTATTCATAAATGCTCATTGATTATTTTCCACGAGGTGGGTTGGGTTGGGAAAATACTGGCAGTAAAAGAAGCTGTTAACAATCTTTGAGGGCACAGTGAGCTGTCAAATTTCCTTCTAAAGGTTAACGATGTTTTCTCGCTGCTGTGTTTGTCCAGGTCACCTGGATGTCGTGGCACTGCTGATTAACCACGGCGCCGAAGTCACCTGCAAGGACAAGAAGGGTTATACCCCTCTGCACGCCGCAGCCTCCAATGGGCAGATCAACGTGGTCAAACACCTCCTGAACCTGGGGGTGGAGGTAAGCCCCCACAGCTGAGCCATTGCTCGGCTCACGTCTTTCTTTACATTCTTCTCTCCGAACTAAAATCCTGTTTGCATTTTATTCAAGTGGAGAAAAAATGTATTTCCTTGGGTCCTGTATTCCCTTTTATGTGGCCTGATAAATTATAATAGGGGTATCGATTAAGTAGCAGGAATTCAGAAACAGACTGTATACACAGAGAGATATATAAACCTTCGCTCTGCAGGAGCAGCTGGTGAGGTGGGCTAACGTGGCTAACGCACCTCCGTTCTGCACGAGGTGTCAGGCACCCGAATGAAGACAGAATTGATTCTGAGCCTGACTCAAGGGCACGGTGTCCACAAGCTACCTCTCCTGTTAACCCCATCCCCTCTTTTCATGGCCACTGTTCCTGAGCCCATGACTTTGGGGTTTGTTCTTTTCATTTCTGTCATTTTGAAAGTGTCTTTGCCTTCCGTCTTATTTGGCTTTCTCTAGCTGAGAAAACCTGCTCCACGGGCATTTGAACCTCTAATACCTCATGGGTCATTTTTTTTTTGTCATATTCAACTTTTCCTGTCTCTTCTAGGGGGAGACAGGTGCTCTCGGGATACCTGCTGGGGAGCAAGTGAGCTCTGAATAATCACCCCGATGGGTGGGCATTTCCTTTCTCTCACCAGAGCCATTAAGCCCATTGTGGCGAACGGAGTAAATTGGCTCCGGTGATTTTAACTGCCCTGGTGTTGGATGCTTTGCAGATCGACGAAGTCAACGTCTATGGAAACACAGCTCTACACATCGCCTGCTACAACGGCCAGGATGCTGTGGTTAACGAGCTCATCGACTACGGTGCTAACGTGAACCAGCCCAACAATGGCGGCTTCACCCCTCTGCACTTCGCAGCGGCGTCCACCCATGGCGCTCTGTGCCTGGAGCTGTTGGTAAACAACGGGGCCGATGTGAACATTCAGGTATAGCGCTTGGTCTCCCCGCCTCAAACACCTCTGCGCTGAGCCTCTGAGCGGCAGTAATCGTTGTCTGCTATGCTGTGCTTTCGTGACTTGGAAGCACTTTGAGTCATAGACTTATCCTGGATTGAGATGCTCTGGAAATTGCTAGGTTGCCTCTTCAGTATGATGGTACCAGCATGTAGGCACCAAGGCTCCAATCTCCTCTCCTTTGTGGGTTTATGGATGCTCAGCTGAATGTCAGGTCTGAAAGGTGCTAGCCCAGCCCATAGTTTAACACAGACAGCCATGGTTAACTGGCCAGGCAGAGCGGCTGAGAACACAGAGGATTGGCTAGCTCATGGTTGTTCCCAAGCCCAGCATGGCTATCCGATGCTTTCCTCCAGCAAGCTGTAAACAGCGTCCAGTGATGGACCGTTGACCTAGTTGCCGTGGGCATCCCGTCAGTCACTGAATCGACTAAGGACCGCCCTGCTCTTTATTTGACGGTGAGGGAGAGCTTGAAGTTGAGCTGTGGTCTCGAACCATTACAGGTTCACAACCCAGGAGCTAAGACACACAGAGAGTTAGGAGGCCAGGGAGGATGTGACCACTGCCAAGAGAACAGAGCGATAGAGCTTCGGGAAGTAGATGATGCACCTGTTAGCTTCTTTCTTGTCTGGGGATTTAAAAAAAAAAAACTTTGAGCTTGTTTTTGAGCTGAGAAGATGATAAATTGGGAGGAGCCACAGAAATAATTTGAGAGAGGACATTGCCGTTAGTGAGGGAGGGAAGAGCCATGAGCTGGTAATTTATCACCTCACCATGGTGACTGATGGAGGATGCCTATGCATCTGTGCTTTCAGCGTGGTTCGCCATCGGGGTTGTACTGAAACACCCTTGCCCCGTAGTAGAATATTCTGAGCAGTGCCCTCTGCTGTCCCCTTACCACTAAGCACCATGTATAGAATGTATAGAATATGGGGTCCTGAAACACCGGAAAGCACCCTTACAACTAAGACAGGCACACAAGAGGCTAAACAGTCAACATCTCGAAGACTGTGGGCATCTGTGGGTCTTTCCAAGGAAGGAAGATGAGGGACATTAGAAAAAAAGCACCATCTTTGCAACCTTGCACACAATAACTCACAGGCTGAAAACCCTTTGAGTGTGTGTGTGTGTGTGTGTGTGTGTGTGTGTGTCATAGCACACTGGCACGTGGGGGCCAGAGTCATTATTGCCATGTGGGTTATGGGAATTGAATTTGGGTATGCCGGCTTGGTAGCAAGGCCCTTTACCCGCTGAGCCATCGTACAGGCTCTGTGTTTAAGTTTTGAGAAACTAATATTGAGCCAGTGTGAGGACACGATAGTGGAAAATGTAGCATGGAAGAGCAGTAATGAGCATGAAAAACCAGTCCTTAGGTTGCTTCAGCCACAAAATGGTGGCGGTAAAAGGTGGGGTCATTCGAGGAGAGAGTGGAGAAGGCGAGGGAGGACCCCAGGACTTGACTCTTCGGGTCCCGAGAAGGAAGAGCCAGAGCAAAGGATGAGGAAGAGGCAGAGAAGGGAAGAGAGAATGGCAGGGAATACGGTATCTTTGTGAAGGTCAGACTCATGCCGAAGGGAAAAATAGAATGGAAGGAGTGTTTCAGAGTCGAGCACTCTGTACATGGACAAGCAGGGTCCCAGGTGAGAAGCAGGCCTCTGGAAACATGGAAGGGACCAAAGAGGCAGTTTTTGTGCCACGAGTTTTTGTGCGGGGTAGAAGTCAGAGTGAGGTAGTCAGGTGGAGCAAGAAGCACACAGCTGGTCAATGGCCAACATCTCGAGGATGGTGGACATCTGTGAACTTTGAAAGGAAGGTGACGGACAGTAGATGCAGGCATTGTCTTGGCAACCCTCCACTGAATTGATTTATGGGCTGCCTGGGGCTCCCCATCCTCTGAAAATGCCTCCTAGTGCTCTTAGTGCGTCTGATGCCCAGAATTACAGACGGATTTTCCCAACCCGCTTTGAGATACTCTTCCATCGACTTAGGAATCCTTCCTGGGTACCTGAGTTTATATCCCAACATACCCCTATCCTGGCTTAGCATGATCCCATAGCAACCTTCCTGCCCAGGGATACATGATACATATACCACCAATTCCTGTAACTTTAGGATGTACCACACCCTGTCTCTAAGGGGTAGCAATGCCATTTAGGGAGGAGGCTTTGGGGGTGGGGGGTGTTGGGAGATGAGCAAACAAGACCTTAGGAATAGAAGAAAAGATGAACGTGATGCTCAAGACGATCTATACGTTCTGCTTAGTTCAAGGACAAGATTGGATTCTCCCCTGCAAAAGCCTAAGTTTGTCAAAAAGTAACCTTAATTCTCACTAGCTTTCCTTTATGACTCAGGGCTCGACCGTACTTAAAAGACTCCTCCTTTAATGAAGTAGATTCTCAAAAATAAAGCTGCCAAAGCCTTAAATCTGATGGGGAAACATACCCAGGAAATTGGGGGAGACTAGAAATTAAGAAAATTATTTTCCCCCATAAAAGCAAACAATAGGACAAACAGGACTGAGGACAATCTCCCGCGTACATAGGCAACGCCACCGTTGTCCCAGGTTCCAGGGACGGTAGCAGCAGTCAGGTGCCAGGGCGAAGAATTTTTCAGGCAGAACATGAAGTGTAACAGAGTTCTAGTTTCAGCTGATTGAGTTCTAAATTTTAAAGACTAACAAAAGAGCATTGTCCTTTGGATGTCATTAGTCTTCAGTGTTTTTTTATTTTTATTTTTCAAAACAATGAGCACCCTTTACATCCATACCGCGTAAGCCAAGCCACCCCAATGGCAATCATGAGACTCAGGACAACTGGCGATCGCCCGATCATATTAGTAGGCGGACAAAGGCCAAAGTCCGCCCAGGTAGATCTGAAACATGCATCGTCTGCCCCAAACAGCCCATCTTTGCCTTTTACCGTCTGGGGTGTTCTCTCCTTATTTGTCCCTTTACTAGAGACCCAAATACTCCCAAGGAACAGAATGTGATTACCGTCTTCCACGCAGGGCTGGCTTTGCCGTCCATACACTAGAGACTGCCGCCTCCGCCTTCGCTCACAGCTGCAATCCATACAGCCCCCCCTCAGTGAGTGGGCCTTGGTAGAGCCATTAACCTCATTTCCAGGTATGGGAAGGCTCTTATTTCAATATTGACCAAGGTATTTCCTAAACACCGGAGTATTTATAGCTTCGTATACATTTAATTAAATCATAATTACTTGTGTTTTTATATTAAACTTAAGGGCAAATGCTGGAACCAAGCCTCTGTTTTTTTCTTGATATTTTCTGATTCTGGCTATAATCATATTATGTGCTTTCTATTATCTTCCCTCTCATCTATGGAAGAAAATTTTAACTGTAGTGTTTTTTTTTTTATTTTTCAACTAGGATGTAGTTATCACGGTGATTAGCGCTTCCTTTGGCATAGACTTTGTGTAACTTCGTTCCTCTTTTCAAAGGAATACTTGCAGGATATCATAAAGTTCTTTCTGCCAAAACAAAATGAAAACAGAACAACCCACAGTCTAAAGCATGACTCTTACCTTTATGTGTACTGTGCAAGCTGGAGATGAAGCCCTTGCCCTGTTCAGATTCAGTAGGTGTGAGCTAGTTTGCAGAATTCGTATAACCAATCAGCACCTTGGATATGGGTGGATCTGGGTCCTCTAAGAGATACTTATTTAGTGGTTATTCAATTAGGGTTTTAAAAGCGAAGCCATTTTAAAGCATAAATGCTTAGTTTTTAATCTAAGATTGAAAATTCATATGTGACCCTTTGTTTTTTTAACCTCAGACTTGAAGAAACATTTCTACTAATATTTAGAAAAATCACAGCGATACAAGTTTTAAAAATACTCAAGGGCCAGCAGGCTGGTTCAACAAGTAGAAGCTTCTGCCACAAAGCCTGTTGACCTGAGTTAGAACTTTGGGTACCACATGATAGAAGATGAACACTGATTCCCTCAAGTTATCCTCTGACCTCCCTCTGTCCATGGTAGCCTAGGCATCCCCACACCTACACATTAAATAAATTAATTAAAATGTAATAAAATTGAAAATCCACACTTGAACGAAGATATGACCACTCCTCACCATGAGTTCAAACCTACCATCAATTTAAAATTACTTTAACCAATTCCTTCCCCATACCGAACATCACAGTTTGGCAACCATTCACGGCAGCATCTCTGTTGTTTATCTGCACGCTGCTGCAATCACACCACACCTTCAGGATTTCACACTGCGCCTTGTAGCCCAGAAAAGGAGCCGCATTCAAGCTCCGGGGCATAGTTCCTACTGAATCTGAACAGGCCCACGTAATCGAGGTTAAGAATGCTCTCTGGAGCTGTTGGGAGTTGTGGGTAAACTACACGTACCTGTACTTCTGAAGATGCCTTTGCCCCAGAATCATGATAGGGTCTTTCAGATGTATTTTTATTTCTTAATTAACTGTGCGGGAGTCTGATCTTTGGTATGATAAGCACAGTAGATAAGTTCTGAACATTTTCTATGTTCTGTCTTAGCCTGTTTTAGGACATTTCGTGATCTGTTTTTGTCATAAGTAAGACGTGTAAATCCAGCACGCATTCACTGTCTACTAACCTGAGATGGAGGGAATGGTGCAGGGTTTTCCCCTTACTTTTGAGAGTTACATCAATTCAGTCAGCTCCAGTTCAAACAGATCCTTGCTAATTCGCAGGTCACTTATCTTTCTAGAAGGCAAGGAGCACACCAAGATGTCCTTTGTGAGCTGATGACAAGGGAGGAGAAAGCATTTTGAATGATCACTTCCCTAAGGGTTTTGAAAATGTGCTGTGAATTTTTTTTTTAATTGAAAGAAAAGGAGGCTGGAAAGATGGCTTAGCAGGTAAAGGCTCTGGAAGTGCCAGCCTGTGTCCTGTGTTTGTGCACGCCTGTGTCCTGTGTTTGTGCACGCCTGTGACCTGCGTTTGATCCCTGGAACCCACATGTAGCTGGAAGGAGAGAATGTACTCTGTGAAGCTAGCCTCTGGTTTCCATATGTACATGTCCCTGTCCCCTCTTCCCACCGTTGAACACACACACGTACACACACACACACATACATGTAATAATAGAAATAATAAATAAACATTTTAAAATTTAAGGCTATGATGTTGCACAGTCACCGGGGAGGTCTCATATATTGCATCTTTGTATATATAATATTTTTATTCTTTGTGAATTTCATTTATGTATACAATGTATTTTGATCAAACTTAACTGCTCCCTCTCGAGATCAGAACGCCATCCCCACCATATATGCATGGGTGTGAGGCCATTCACGGGAGCAAGGTCAGCCTACCAGGGACCACACCCCTCAATAAGCCAGACTCTCCTTCCATTAGCAGCCATTGGTGATCAACAGCTCCACAGTTAGGGGTGAGGGCTCATGAGCCCCGCCCCCATCCATGTTGGACCATGTTGAAATGTAGACTGGGCTGATCTTGTGGAGGCAACGGTTACCTGCTGAGTTCCTGAGGGCATCAGTCCTGTTACACCCAGAAGACAGTGTGTCCCAGTCCTCCCAGAATCCTTTTCCTCTTAGGATCTTTATCTTGTTATCTCAGAATTAGCTCTTCCTTGTAATTATTGACCATACATTTTTTTGGAAAAAATTATTTATTATGTATGCAGTATTCTGCCTGCATGCCAGAAGAGGACACCAGATCTCATTACAGATGGTTGTGAGCCGCCATGTGGGTTCTGGGAATTGAACTCAGGTCCTCTGGGAGAGCAGCCAGTGCTCTTAACTGCTGAGTTATCTCTCCAGCCCATTGTTGACCATACTTTTAAAACAAAAAAATTGAAATTGTGATCCCAAGGTCATTGGAAGTGGCTTTCAGAGTGATATCCTAGGCTGACGATGCTGGCTCATAGCTCCTTTGTTTCCCCTTTCTTGTTTTGTAGAGTAAGGATGGCAAAAGCCCCCTTCACATGACGGCTGTCCACGGAAGGTTCACGCGGTCACAGACCCTCATCCAGAACGGTAAGGGGTATTCTTCGATGAGCTTTAACAGTTTGCTCGGATAGTCTGAATTGGATTTAACCGACTATGTGAAAATTGATGCTGTGTGTGGTTCCTCCAGTCGCGGGGAGATTGTAAACCGTGTTGTAGTCATTTGGTGAGAACATGGTGTGAGTGGCTGTGGCCAGAGATGAACAGTTTTAAAATACTGCAGCTTTTCCCTTTTCGTGAAGCTCAGCCTCCGTAATTTACACTGATAACAGCTGGTCTGAGTTATTTTTAGATTGCTGAACCCACTAAGGTTAAAATCCCCAAGTTTAAGCTCATTAAACCACCTGGACAAAGGTCGAAAGAAGTGGGGTGACTCGGGGTGTAAGCAGGTAAAGTTTGTGGTGAGACCACAGGCTCAAGAGAGAGCTGGGAAAGCCATGTAACACAGTACCATGTAACATAGTACCATGTAGCACAGTAACATGTAACATGGTAAAGTAACACAGCAACACATAACACAGTGCCATGTAATACAGTACATGTAATAGTACCATGTAAACAGTACCATGTAGCACAGTACCATGTAACACAGTACCATGTAGCCCAGTAGCATGTAAACAGTACCATGTAGCAAAGTAACATGTGACATAGTAATTTTCCAGATTCTCAACAACAGTGTACTCGAAGAGCACTGGGCTGTCTTGGAGGCCAAAGTCCCTGAAGTCTTTTTACACGTCATAGCTCATGTTAGCCTGAGGGTCACGGTTGGCACCTGTGAGCTGAAGCACAATGAATAAAACTCAGAGCAAAACAGCCAGCCCCTGGTTCTTACTTCCACCTCAGTCCAAAATGGCGATCTTGCTCCAGGAATCTCCGAATGAGACTGAGCGCTATCTCCTCCTGTCTTATATTCCTCTCTAATGCTGGGGTTAAAGGCGTGCACCGCCCCATTTCTATGGCAGCTAGTGTGGCTACTGGGATTTAAGGTGCGTGGTCACCGCTGCCTGGTCTGTAAAGCTGACCAGTGGGGCTGTTTTGCTCTCTGATCTCAGGCAAGTTTATTTATTAAAATACAAACGAAGTGCCACTACAGTGAGCGGGCTAACTGTGACAACTTAGATGATCTTAGCCAGCCTTAGAGACAATCTGAAGACAAGAATAACAAAAACCAGGTTTGGTCCGGGCATCCAGCTGACATTTGTGGTCAATTTAGTAGACTCCAACCTTCCAATTCTCAAAAATTCTAATGGGAGCAACTTTTCTTAGATTTTTTTTTATTTGCAGCTGTAAGAATCTTGGGCACAATGGAAAGTTAGTGAGTTATAGCCTAGGTACTCAAGTCAAAAAAGCATACACACACACACA